TACATACATACATACATACATACATACATACATACACACATACATACTTACATACATACATAGATTTCTCTCTCTCTCTCTCTCAAGGTCCCCACTGAACCGGTCGAAGCCTTTGAAAGTGCATTTTAGTTGGAGGTTCGGGGAGTGATGCCACCCGATAGGCCACATCAAATGTCCAAGTCCCCATTGTTTGAGCCACACCATCATTGAGGGCTTTGTGCTTGAGCATGTCACAACCTTGAAGGTTAAAGCCGCAGGAAGTCAGAGCCTTTGGTGCTTAATGGTTCCTCTCAAGTCATGGGCTAGGATGATTGTGTGAAAACTGTGTATTCTCATATATCTTTACGTACATATGCAGCACACATTTGCCACATGCAGTGTATCGTTGAGACATGAATTTAGTATGACATGCTGCATATTTGCAATTGCTCCTCCAGCAACATTTACCAAGGAGTCTTGGAACCCCGGTGCAACCGGCACCGTTCCATTTGTTCCACCCGTTCCACACTTCGGGCTCGAGAGAGCCGGGCAGGTCTTCATCATGGACACCACCCCGCTGCAGAATCTCTTCTTTGGTGACCCGGACCAAGTGGCCAGCGCGGAGGAGAGGCACCGCATGCTTTGGATCCTGGACAAGCTCCAGATGCACACCACTCGGCAGCTGGCGGAGTTGGAGATCTCCATGCTTCAGGCTGGGGTAGTCAAAGAGTGGCAGAAGTAGAAGATGTTTTATGATGTTTACAGCTGTTGGTGTGTTGTGTGGGTGTGATTGTGGTTGTGGTGCGGTTGTTGTTTGTTCCCCATCATGTTCCTAAATGTTTGTGGTGATCAGCGATCAGACACAAAAGAAACCGGATATATTTTATGCAGGGATCTCTAGCAACATATGGTGAGAAGCAGTTCCCTTGAATCCTGTAAAGTACACAAAGGTTATCTCCTCCAAGCTCCATCTTGCAGTCCAAATGTTTCTAGAAACAGGCCCCCCTCATTCATCTTGAGTTACAGTTACCGGATGCGGCGCCAGCTGGGAAGACGCCCATGCACGTGCCCCACTCAGTAGTGGACCACCTGTTTGGCAACATCGGTCATGCAGCTGAGGGTCTCATGGGCGCGGACGCTGCATGCCGCGTCCTCCTCTCAGGAGCCTGAAGAGCTGGAGGAGGAGAATGGACCTTGTGGCCTGAAGAGATGCGGACCCGACATGGCTGGGGATGGAATCGCACCACGCGCGTTTGGGTGAGTTAAACATTCTAAAACTGAAAAAGGACCGACTGTTTAGTAGGAACATTGTCTTCCATGCAGTCGTCCGTGTTTTACTTGTTTTGAGTTATAAGGTTCTATATTGCTATATCTTCAACTAGGTAAAATATGTCACTGTGTATGGACGTGTTGACACCATTTCCATGGAATCTACAGTCACCTGGAGTTCTTGTTTGTGTCTTGCATAGGGGTGCAAACGCCTGGGTCATCTTCGGATGGGTCATCCCACCAATGGTCAGCGTAGCGTAGTCGCTACGGGAGGTGCCAAGTGAATGGGATGTTCCGAGGAGTCGACGACATGAGGTGCGATAGGACATGACGATTGGTCCCAGGTCCCAGGTCACATGGATTTCGATCTGGAGATGTAGCTTTGGATTCTGGCAACCTTCTCAAAATAGCTTCCACCGACCCAAACTACAATTCAGCTCAGCATGGTTGCTTCTTTTTGTTCCTGTCCTTTCTTTCATATCCCATTCACATCGTTCACGCCTTTTCGCGTTTTAGAAATAGCTTTGGGGTATTGGATTTAGCTTCCTATAGCTTCCCTTGCGAAGAACTTGGAACCGCGCCGTTCGCGAGGTGGGTGTTGTTATGACATCGAAGAGGCACCGGATCCTTCCGAGCGCTTTATGCGACCGCCCGATGGCTCCAAGCTGGCTCGGCAAGTGCAGAAGAGACTGGCGGGGTGGCACAACTCCTTAAGCTTTCAAGAGATCTTTGCCTGAGTCTTTTGATTGTGGTTGCAATCATGTCCTTTCTTTGGGGACATGTTCTTGTGAGACAGTGTGGTTGTGTTGCTATTTGTGTTTCTTTAGTTCTTGAATGTTCTTCAGAGCATTAAACTTATGACCCTTAAAAGAACAACTTTACCAAGAAAGTACTCGGCTAGACCAGATGTAAGAGATTGTAAGAGAATTCATGCAACACTGTAAATATGTTGTTTGGTTTTCTTATCATCGTTATTGTTTATGTTGTTTTGGACAAGGTGCCAAACTCAAGCAGCAGTTATATACGTTTGTGTCATTTTTTGGGGAGCTCTTCTCACTTAAACAGACAGAATTTGTTGTTGTTTCTGCTGGTGTGTTTCCTCTCCTGTTGTTAGTTACTGTTAGTTAGTTCTTCTTCAATTTAATCAGCTCGTCATTGCTGTCGCAGACAACTTGTATGTATAGACATATGCATATGTGCATACAGTGTTGTTTCTTTTGCTATTCGCCTCGCCTTTCACAATGTCTTCTTGGCCTCAACAAGGCTCGTTTATTGCTCCTGCGTTTTGTTCTTTCTATTGTTCCTGTCTCCTGTGGAAGCTTTTCCTAGTCTACGCAGACTGTTCTTGTTTGGTAGTTGTCAACATTTTGCAGAGCTTTGCATGTTTCCAAGCATGCACGTGAATAATATTTGAGAGTTATCAGCAAACTGCATCAATCAAAACTAACGGAGTTGGGTCAGGATTGATTTCTCCTAGTCTTGCCCATCACCCCTAGTAGACTTGCCAGTCCTTGACTAGGTACTCCTCTTCGTCAATAACTAATTGTTGTTTCTTGATCAGTGTGCCGAATTCGTAGGCTTTTCCTGCCAAAAGGAAATGATATTCATCATCCCGTTGTCCTTTTCTGATATACTGTATATAATATATAACACATGAAGCCCAGTTCTGCGTAGATCGGACAAATTAGGGAAAGGCAAAGCAAATTATATAGACGAGGGAAACTCTTTAAAGACAAAAACTCCCAGAGTCATGATGATGAAAGATGGACAAAGTCCCACTTTCCTCAATGGTGGACCCTCACCATGTGCATGTTGCATATACTTTGCACGTGCTTAGCTTTGAGATTGCTTGGCACCTATCAAGCACTTGGCTGTATTGGCCAATTCATTTGCACCACTTTGTGACAACTACCCCCGCACGGCCGCACGGCAGCCAAAACCAAGAAAACATACCCAAGCCCAAGCCTTGGTTTGGGCCAGACTGGGTCATAGGTTTGCTTTTTGGCTTTGTGAATTCTGACAACTTTGTTGTTGGTTCTATGTCCAGATGTTACTCTTTTGGTGGTTGGGGGCAGTCTGACCCGTTTTGCTATGCGTAGCAGATGCTTATCCAGATGGTCAGATGTGAGGCCACATGTATTTCTGTCTTTGCTGCATGTTCACGGATGATACAGTACCCCTGGATGTTCATTGCAAAGCTCCTGCGACCTAAAATATTACCATAGCTACCATCGAGGCACCGGATACATATACATATATACACCTGTGATTATAAATGCGTGAAGGGTGGTGTGTGTGTGTGTGCGTGCTGTAATGTGTTGCCGGGGTTCCGCTTCCTTGTTCTCTTGGGGGAAGCCTCATTTTGACCTTCTCCACAGGTCAGCAGACATGACCAGCAGGCCCAAGTCTTTTGGAAAGAACCAGGCATAACATCGACCAATGTTCAACATGGGTCAGACCAATTTTCCACATGGGTCAGAACCTTCTATGTCCACATGGTTAATTTTCTTCATGAGGTGCCCACACCCCCTTGTCCAATTTTTGAGTCGTTCTGTCTCGGTGAGCCAATCGGTGCCGTTCCCTTCCGCCTTTCGGTGTCCAACCGGTTGACGGAGCTACGTTATCTTCCACTCTTTTCACCGTGCCTGGTGGTTGACTTGGGGGTGGTCAACGGAGCCAGCTGAAGGCTGGCCATGCTGCGGGTTTTTCGGTGGTTTCCAACTCAAACCAGTTGAGTTCCAAATTCTCGGCTTTTTGTCAGCTTCCCGTCAGTTTTGGGATGGGAAACCTGACTGTTGTGGAGGGAACCTGTATGGTGATTCTATGGGACATCCTGTTGGAAAGCATTGGACAGACAGAGCCTGTTTTGGAAAGTATCGCGAGCCTGAGGAAAGCCAAGCTTCACATGGCACGTGCCTTGATTATGAACCCCGAGATTCTAATACTGGAGAAGCCATTGATGAATGTGGATGAACGGGAATCTTGGATGGCTTTGGGTTCAACGGCTTGCGGGTTCAAACGCACACTGCATGAGAGCATCCGAGAGCTCCTGTCCGAGAAAAACAGAGTTGTGATAGAGTTGTGACAAACGTCTGGAAACAAAGCATCGTCGTCATCATCATCATCATCATCATCGAGATCGAGATTCATGAAGTGACAGGTTTCTTATATGATGATGGAATGACCAGTCAGAATTGATGCCAGCTATGAACGTGCTCTAAAGGACCAGAGAAAACGTGGCAGCGTCCTACTCGGACCTATCGATGGCCTCCAACCTAATAGCTTCCAATCTAACTGCAATGGGCTCCAACCCAGAAGCGATGGCCTCCCTTCCACCCACAATCTAAGCCTATCATTCTTTGGCCTTCAAGCCACAATCTAAGAAAACCATGAGTGCTGTGAAGCGTGTTGAACAGGACTACATCCCAGCAAACGTGCACAGCCCCAAACAAAGGTGAAGGAAAGCATGCTCAAATCCCTCCTTGGGGGGTTTCATGTTGCACCAAGTGCAAATTATTGAAAGCCAACGTTTTCCCACCATAATTAGCCTGCCATTTGCGTGTATCACATTGGCATTGGCTTTCTTACTTGAGGGAGATTCGCAGATGATTGCAGATGCGTTCCAAGGCCCCAAGTGTCCAAGGATTCAATCCAGAAATCCTGCGAACATTCGGCTGCAGTTCGGGCGAATTCTGCGCCCCAAAAAGACCAGTATTGCCTTGTTCCTAGTAGCGATGCCCTTTGCTGCTAGTAGCGTCCTTGCTCCTAGAGCGTCCTTGCTCCTAGTAGTACGGCCAGGAGCCCCCTAGTAGCGTCCTTGCTCCTAGTAGTACGGCCAAGAGCCCCTAGTAGCGTCCTTGCTCCTAGTAGTACGGCCAGGAGCCCCCAGTAGCGTCCTTGCTCCTAGTAGTACGGCCAGGGAGCCCCTAGTAGCGTCCTTGCTCCTAGCAGTACGGCCAGGAGCCCCTAGTAGCGTCCTTGCTCCTAGTAGTACGGCCAGGAGCCCCTAGTAGTGTCCTTGCTCCTAGTAGTACGGCCAGGAGCCCCTAGTAGCGTCCTTGCTCCTAGTAGCAGGGTGAACTCTCCAACCCTTTTGGGCCGGAACCCTCGTTGTGCGAGGAATCTGAAAATGTCATGGCAGTGCTCCGTGCCACGGCTGTGGGGCGAGCGAATCGAGGGGACCGGTGAAGCACATGGCATGCGGTCGAAATGTGTCAAGTTCGTGAATCCCAAGTCTCCAATGCTCCAAGTCTTCAATACTCCAATGCCAGGTATGAAAAGACATAGAAAACCTCACTTTCGCGGCATCCAAATACCTGCTTAAACAATGCATTGGAGCCGTACGCCGGAGTGATTCAACATGTGATTTGGTCCAAGCACGGGTAGGATAGGTGGTTTTCAGAATCCTAAACCATAGGTTTGATGCTTTAGAAATGGTTTGTACTTTGGCACGTAGTTGTTTGACATAAACACTCCATGAAGGCCAATTTGGCCTACCTTCACCAAACATCACTAAATCATCCTGGCATACACGGAGCATCTAGGATACAACGAATTAAAAGAGCCTCTATTGTGTCCAGTGAACTTACATCAACCAAAGCTCCTCATCCGAAACACCCAAGCTCCTCATCCGCGGTCACCGTTCCCTTCGCACCGGCTCTGAGCAAGGCGAGTATGTGTCCAACCGTGGCGTCGCGATGCCAGCAGAGGAGCGCGACGGTCGGAGGCCGAGGACTTGCTTTTTGAGCGTCGAGCGCTCCACGGAAATTCTGGTGGATGCAATTTGGGAGACTTGGAGAGGTGGTCATGGGCAGCAGGTTAGGTCGGGCCAGTGGGGGGTGAGTTTGGTTCAGTGGGTTTATGGCAAGTGGCGAGTAATTAATACTATATGCTGGTTCCTACGCACTGTTTAGCAAAAGCTTTCCTTCGGGAGCTCGTAGCTTTAGTTGGGCCTCTAGCAGTCTTGGGTTTGGGGGTTCCTTGGTTGGGCATCGAACGAGTACAAAGGTTCTTATATGTCCTCAAATGACCATGGACCAATCCCGTCCCAAACTAATTATATACACCAAAATGTATATGGTATGTTACAGTTATCATCATAGTTTGTGTGATTTTTCACGGAATGTTCACCATTCACCAGAAATACAGCACGACTGAAGAGCAAACACCTGCGCTGCCGACAGTGAACTTGCAAAGTTGGGATCCGGTGAGCATGCTTGGCTACAAGTGCTAGCTGAGCACTGGACTTGGTCCTTGGAACTGGAGCTACAAAGCTGATATCCTCCGCAGCTGCTTAGGAACTTTTGGCACCAATGCTAGAAAGACTAACCTACCTTCCAAGCACCGGATGTTGGTAAATAGAACGCCCTCACAAGCTGCGTAGTGTAAGGCCCTTAAGGCCAAGGGTGAGTGAGGCATACTTCGTCATACCTCAGGAAACCTTCGTTTGATACGTCAGCTCAGGAGTTTAAAAATGGCCGCTGTCTCTTGGACTGAGCGAACCCTTTCCGCAGCAGCCGGGTTCTTGGACAACCCTTTGCGATGTCAGGACCCTATATCCTACCAGGTGCGAATACTCAATGGCCTTATCCATTCACTATAGTATAGTAAAGTTTATAGTTTATATATTGAATGGTGTTGCTCTTTTGAGCTTTGTGATGCAGAATAAGTTAGTGGAATTTAGGATGGCAAACAGCATCAAATAGCTAAGCTAGACCAAGGGTTGCCTGAGCAGTTTTGACACGAACACCACTGTGTTTACCTTAAGCCCCCTTCAAACAAACCCAGGAGCCATACATTCGGGACCCGGACCGAACGTCACTGGTACCCGGACGTCGCTAAGGGTGTGGTGCCCCATCTATGAAGATCACCTGCGATTGGACGGGCTAGCGAGAAACCGGCCCCGAACACAATGACTTTTGATACCCAAAGATGATTTTTGTGCAATCATTGATATTCCGCGGTCCGCGCCACCCGAGAAAAGAAGGCACACGCACACGCACGCACGCACGCACACACACAAATGCAGGTTGTTGAAAAGCACATACAGCAGAAAAGAACTCCTAAGCACATACAGCATACGTACCCACATTAGCATGCTTTAGCCGCATCCTGAATCCAAGCTTCCTGGTCCCATCGCTTTCTCCGAGGCCAAGAGGCTCCAGCGCAGCCCAAGAAGGGCGGTGCCAAGGCGGAGGCGAAGGCATGGTCCACGAGCCGTCCACGAACAGTGACGCTGAATGTGGCGAGCTGATGGATGGCCGAGGGTGTTTAAAGATGGATGGGACGATGGTTGAGGAAAGAAGGTGTTTTTGTAATATGGCACCTCTCTCTCTCTATCTATATATATATATGTTGGTCACGTTCGAAGAGAACCAAGAAGATCATGTGGCCAGATGTAAAGGTTCAGTCTGGTTCAGTGTTGTTTTGGTTTATTTAGTTGGCTGAAGGAACTAGGAGACCTGGTGGATTGCCAACAAGGTGCACTACCACCCTGCATCCCAACCATACGTCCCATCTCGTCTCACCCAAAGGTTGGTGGATCTGCGATTTCAGAGTGTTGGTGATCGCCCAGGGCGTTCGGAAATCCTGAAGAGTGGTACGTTAAAGTTCCTGATGGTGGATTAGAGGACCTATATAGGGACGGTGATCCACCTTGGGCGACGTCAATGATCAGCGGAATCCTGGTCCAACTGATGCATAGGTTTGTCAACAAAGAGGGTTCACCAGTCTTGCAGTTGTTGAGGGAGTCTAGGTTTGATGGTCCTCGGCAAGGAATGGCAAGAGCTAACAAACCCAGAACATGTCGAACATGTAACATTACATGTTTGACCCTCAGAAGGCAGGAAATTGTAAGTTGCAAGTGGCCTCCTCCCTCCTCACTAATTTGTGGCGATCATAAACCTATGGACCCACTTCCTTTTTCTTTCCTTCCCTCTCCCTCTTGCTTTCGCTCTCTCTCTCTCTCTCTTGTTCCTTCCCGTTTGGAAGGGTATAGTAGTTGATGGGAGTTTATGCCTTTTAATACATCCTAATACCGATACAGTGCATTGGAGACCACTGGAAGTCCCGGTAACAGTACGTACTTACTCCACGCCCAGGAAAACACAAGCAGTTCCACTTGCAACCTGCAGATTCAACGGTTGGTAGAGGATCCACTGGAGCTGAAGCGAGGATCCACTGGAGCTGAAGCGTTGTGGCAATGTCCACTTCGAAGCTGTCCAGCCGGGTGTGAAGCCGTCGGTGGCCATTCGGAGAAAAGACAAAAAAACGGCACGACTCCCGCGTTGAAGCACGGTGCATTCATTGAGATCCGGGGGTAGATCCGGGGTGGACCAACGGAGGCGAGCAGATCGCCCCCTGATCGGACAAGGATGACTTGGGTGTTTTCTTTTTGGGGGGGGAAGCTGGAACATAGTTGGCTTTTGACTACAGTGTTATTAGTGGTTGATATATGGCACCAAACTGACTGACCCCTCTTTTGTTCCTAAAAGGACATCCTTGAGCTGGCATGGTTCACCGTTGACAGAGCAGATGACCGAGTTGCTGCCCGTTATTTATGGTTTCTTTTAGGCATCCTGCAGAGTTCAGTTTTTTGAGATCGATTGGTGGCATGTCCCAAGACCAGCTCCGGGCTGCTTGGCACAAGAGGTCTGTTTGTAGAGGTCAGTTTGTCAGTGCAGACCAGGAATTCATGACGTTTCCAGATGGATCAGCCCAGAATCCACAAAGCGACGGGTAAATGAGCCGCGCTTGCATTGCTGTCGTCCCTGAAATTGTGGAGCACAGCCGATCAGGTCGGTGCATCTCCGTAAAGGAGGCGGAGGCCATCGCAAGTAGGTTGGAGGCGATGGTGAACTGATCGGAGCTACACTGAGCCGATCGGGTACTTTCTTCCTTTCTTCACCTTTGCCAGCCCCGGATGCTCAGGGCCCTCCACCGGCCCTCCAGGGCTATCCTATGACTGAGGTGCCTGAGATAGAGGAGACCAAGATAGCAGAGCTGCAAGCTGAGGTTGAGAAAGTCACTGGGCACATATATGGAAAGAGTATATGAGAGAGAGTTGAAATTGAACCCACAGGTGGCATCCTTATTGCGTACCCTCCCTCCAACAAATACCTACCCTGTCAGCGGCTAACTGCTGATCTTTGACCTTTTAGAGTGTTTGTCGGGAATGTTGCAGGCATTTCTGGCGCGACATCTCTTCACTGTTGCATACTGGTGCCACAGTCACACCTTGAATGGCGATGGGAGCGGAATGTCAACAGCACATTTAGCCACCGATCCAAGGCTAAAAAGGAAGTGGAGAGAGAAGCGCAGGCACTCAGAACACTTGGGGCATACGGTTGTCAATAGGAACGCAAAATTTGACCAAACTTGGAAGCTTGGCAATACATACATATAATAAATATATATATATGCGCAATTGGCATAATTGCTAATTGAATGCTGGTTGTTACCGGCTATCGAAAATGAGAGTGGTCGACCACGGAAAACACATGTTATTTGATTCATTTAGTTTATGGGTTATGAATCTAAAATGGGTCTTAAATGGATGGCACGGATGAACTCTTTGCGCAGTCAAACTAGCCAGTCACGACAGAAAGGGGTGTTTTTTGGCACTGGTTAAACCAAATGAGATGAAGTCTTATACCCGTCATTTTGGATGACCTATTTTTAAACAACAATTGGGTGAACCTCAGTATAGTCTGTGGCAACGGGGATCTAATTGAAGAGCCCTGCTATGGTAGGTGATCCGTGAGCTGCGTCAAGCTGAAGGCGCGAGCGCGCTTGTTCGTGCGAGTTCTCGCTTGAAAGGACTGGAACTCTTCACCACCAATCTTGGACGCAAGAATGCGATAGGCGATAGGTATAAAACACGTTTGTGCCGGTTGTGCCACTATTTAGCTGCTAGCTGCTATTCTTTCTTGCGGCTACTGCTACTGCGTCTTAATTCCACTGCCACCACTTCTGCAGCCATGCAGCTGCGCTTGCTTCAGCTCCACTTGTTGGTGGCTCACCTTCTAGTGTCCATGCTTGCAGCTGGAGGACATTGGGTGAAGTGCTCAATACCAAGAATCCGTGAACGACACCCGGAGACCTGTTCCAGGTTCAAAAGGCGAATGCTGATGTCATGTCACGATGTGTTTCGTCACGTTATTTTTTCGCTCATTTTCCTATGTCCCAAGGAAGGAACGAGGAAGGAAACGGGAACGCGCTTTGGCGCGACCATTCGCCACCGTCATCGGTGTCCGGCGCCGGCCGTCCTGGATCGGTACGGCGGCGGCGTGAAACGTAATGCCAGGCCTGCGTGAGCAAAAGGCACAAATGCTGGAAGACCTCACTGGTCAATTGCAGCAAGTTCATGAGGAAAAGGCGATCTGAATTGACTTGCTCGGACTTGGCAGTTCGCTCATTCTGGCCATGAGAATGGTTGATTTTGTCCAAGTTGTTTTCTTTAGACATGGTTTAAAGTTGACACAGTTTCGATGTCATGAGAATCATGAGACCTTTTCTACCCGCGAATTCGCTCTTCTCCAACCGGCCAGCAGGAGGCGTCCACTAGCACGTGGGACACCGTGCCAAACATTTGGGGGGTCTCAGTTATTCAGGTTCTTTGACCAAATGCTTTGAGAAAGTCGTTGCACACTCTGAAGCAGGCACGCCCCAACCTGACAAGAATGCCCGATGAAAACACTGATGGAATGGGTCAAAGCCTGCAGCCACAAAACATCTAATTTTGGTTGACCTTCACAGGACCCACAGCAGGTATCCTGGTGACATGACCCACAGCCATATCAGGGAGCCTTTGGTGTTTAACTTCATTGATGGCCCTCTCTCAGGCGGCGGCCTGCCAAGAGCGTCGCAAGGGTGCCGCGGCCAAGCTGGGCTGGTTGCTGGAGGCCTTTGGATCGGATGGCAGGGGCAGGGGATGCCTCAAGACTGCATCCCAAATACTGTACTTCATTTTTGGAATATATGATGCCTACATTGAACCCCTGAAACCACCCCAAATTCAATTAAATATGCTGTAGATGGTCCATGTATGGGCATTGTTGGGTTTAGTTTCACCCAACTTGGAGGAAGTGGCGAGCTCGAAGAAGTTGAAGGGGACTATCTTGAGGCTTTCCAGCTTGATGGCAGAGGGGGTGGTGGGACATGCATGATTCTGTTCAAGTAGGGGATAGTAGGGGGGTACTCACTCTCAGTGAAACACAACCAGACATGATCCCACTTGGCTAGAGGAAGATTACTTTCCCAACCTCCCAGAGGTTGAACCTCTCTCGTGCCAGGTGGCGTGGCAGAGGTGGCGTGGCACAGCTTTGTGGCAAGCAGTGCGTCATATCGCTGAGCAAGCAAAGTCGCTCCAACGGAAAGAACGGGTGATCTCGGCTGCACACAGAATGACACGGGTCCGTACCAAGTTTTGAGAGACAGCCTGTTGAGGCCTTTGCCCCTTGTTGTCAGAATGATCGTGCCCTCTGACTCGCTAACGTGAAAGTGGACATCCACCTGTTTGAAGAGGAAAATAGTCTTTACAGTGGCCATGCCATCCACTTCCATGCGATGTGTTCGTCGGAGTGCAATTGCTTTGCCGTTCGTGGTGGGTTTCACCAGCTGTTCAGGTGATCGCTCGAAGTCAAGCAGTTGCAGCGCTGTGCCTTGGTGAGTCAGGACGCAACGCTGTCGCAGACGCTGAAATCGGACGCGGTGACCTTCAAACGGTCTAGAGATGCAGATCATCAGTTATCAGTTATCAGAACATATTTATTGTTGAACCCTACATCAATTAATATATTATATCTTAAGTTGTTCTTTTTCTAAGAGTCTAGGTTCAGCCACACCACAGTGATTTGATTCCTCGTTTCATCAAACTCTTTGCGTTTGTGAACCTCGAGGTCCAGCTGCTTGCTCTTGTGGCGGCAAGTAAGCGCATCCAGCCGCGCGGAGCGCGCCGCGCAGCAGCACTTGGAGGAGCTCCAGCGGCTCCAGCTGCGAAGTGCGCAGGCGCACGCGCAGCTGGCGCAGCGGCAGCTGCGGCGAAGCTGTTTGGCGTGGCGTTTGGAGGTGCGACAGAGGCAGGAGGACCGGAAGAAGGCAGAGATGGCACAGAAAGCCACAGCGACCTGGCACGTGTTTACTCTTTTGGGGGGGAGTCTGAGGAGGCCTTTTAGGATCTTATGGGTTGAGAGGCTGACCGATCTATATATATAATTACACATTTAGTCAATATATTATTACGCATCATCATATATATATATACAATATTGATTATATGTTGGATTTGTTACATTACCTGTAAACAGTTGGTAATCAAGTATCAATATTCTAGAGAAAGGCCTTTACCAACCATCATCAGCCAGAATTATACCCAAGATAGTACCCAAGGTTTATCCAAGTTATACAAAATAAATAGATATATATATATATGTTATTGTATATCACAGTTTTGAAGCATCATCACGCTTCCATAGTTGTTTTTCTTTTGCGGTCGTCGAACTCAGGCTTTCATGGCCTCCTTGCCATCCTCAGCATCATCCGTAGCTGCTCCTGCTCCTCCAGTCGAGTCGGATGTTGCGATTGGGGAAAACGACGGAGCTCAGGCAGCTCAGGTGCCCTGGAACTGTGGGATGGCGGGATCCACCGTTGAGAAGGCATTTGATGTTGGTATAAACATGTATAATTAGTACATAAACATTGTTTCGGGGGTGAGTTTGGGTTGAGCTGAGCTACTACTGTACCCTTCAGGACGTAATTGAATACATACAATGTTTATCGATGTTTGATGTTTCTGCAGAATCAGACAAGCAGAGTGTTTGAACGGTGGCTTTGTAGAGTGTTTTTGGTACATGGACTTGCGTTGACACACCATGAACATTTTGCAGGGACCTGCGGCCTGCCCTGGCAGTCATGAGATGCGTGTTTTGGTTTTGATGCATGTATTAATATCATTTTGTATCCAGATCCCCTCGCATGTCGCATGACTTGAGCTTCCCTGTTGCCTGAGGCCAAACCGCGCGCACGTGCAAAGTCATGTCCGAAGATCCTACTGGATCTTGAGCAGCGGGCAGAAGAGCGCCGGAAGTCACAGGCAGAACGACGTCGGCGGAGGCGCTTTGGATTCGTGCACTTCATCTGTGTGCGCGGATAATTCCTCAAAACAGAGTACAAGGTCATTGGTGTACAGTGTGCACGACCATGGCAGGATTGCATGCCATCTACCATAGTATACTACTGTTTCGTGACGTGACTAATTTTAGTAAAAATTAAGAATGGAATTTGATTCCTGTTCAGCTGATCTTGATTACTGGGCATCTACTATATAGTTGCTCGTACTTGCCAGTCTTACCACCCTTACCACTGCTTAGTAAAGAAGGACTGAGGATCACAGCCCTGGCGGATGGAGGTTTTCCCACCTTGAGACAGCCACATCGGTCGCTGCCCTTACACTCCCTGCAATCATCATAGAAGTGGATGGCCACGAAAGGAAGACCATTTTCCACCAGCAGGTGGTGAACTCCACTTCCACGTTAGTTCCAGGGAGGTGTAATCCAAAAGTCCTTTCTTGGCTTCACCGAACGCCCACCTGAGGAACTCGCAGAATCCGCCGGAACCGGAGCCGACCCATCCGCCGCACGTGCCACTCACTTCGGCACCCGCGGCACCCGCGGCACCGGAATCTCAGCTGGAGGGCAGTGAAGCGAGTGCAGCTGCCACTGAAGGTGGGGCGAGGGTTTGGTCACGTTTTGCACTCGGAATTGGCACGAAGCACATGTGCCTCATTTGCTTGCAGGTGAAACAGATGAGAGAAGCAAGGTGGCTAAGCAAACGGTGAGACTTCATAGTCACCAAATACCAACACGGGCCATGGGAATCTGGAATGTTTCTTTACTCTGCATGCATCTACATGTGACACCCCCGAAGCTGACGGAGTCCCAACGTAGAGCCGCCAGCAGCAGCACCAGCGGCAGCAGATAGCGACAGTAGCACCAGCAACACCAGCACCAGCTATAGCAGCAGCAATATAGATATAGATATATAACTGCAATCGAGCAAATCTCGTTATGGGAGCTACAGCCTGCAAGAAACAATCCCAAAGTAACATGTTGTCATATACTAATACTTAAAATTAGATGCTTGACGACTCGAATTGAATCCTGGTACCACTATCCAGGCGCAGAGATCTCGGTGGCACCACCTGCGCCTGCAACAGGGCCTTCGACAGTGCCGGCAGCCAAAGCGAGACCAAGGGCATTGATTGAGATGGAAAAGTAGCTTGGTGAGAACGAGCCTTCGGCGATATCATGTTGCGTCGCGAGGTCCAAAGGCAGCGATTCCACCAAGACCGTGTGGTGCCAGCCGTTTTTGTGTGTTTATGTTTATGTGTGTGTTTTTTGGTTCCTTTTTGGGGGCGTGAAACGAGGTCAACTGAGGTCAACAAAGTCAGGCCTATGTTGTCTTGAACATGTTGAACCTGGACATGGAACAGAGCAGCCAGAAAGGTACTACACTATATAGAGTTCGGAAGCTGCAGGTGAAGAGTATTTACACATAATTTATTTGATATGTGTTTTAAATACATTGGATATGATTTGGGTTTACAGTTTTTTACATGTTTGAATGAAGCCGCAATTGGATTATGCGGTACTGTTGGGTGCTCACTGTGCCCTTCCTGTGACCATGCAGCCGCCCCTGGAAGATCTCAAGGATCCGGTTTTGAGCTCCTCTTCAATATTCCTGGTTGGGTGTTTTATGTGGGTATGGGGGTACTTGTGAGGAGGGCCCGACACCAGATCCACACCCTTGTGCAGAGTGCTTTCTTCCCCATAAACAAAACCTGGAGCTCTGGAGCGGAGCTATTGTTGGAGAAGGGTGCAAATCATACAAAAATCCAGTACTACACCCCCTGTCGCCAGAACCGGTACATCCCACTTGAGGGGATAGGATTTGATGGGTTGGAGGCCATCGCTATTGGGTTGGAGGTTCGCCACCTGTCCTCCATTCTCTCTTCAACGCACTTCAGGCGCGCCCTGGAGCGACGGCAGGCGCATGAGCTGCGGCGGCAGCAGCAGAAGCAGCGGCTTGGGCTAGATGAGATCATGGAGAATGGATAGAACCGTTTTTGGTTCCTGTTGCACCCCAACCCATTGTTGTAACATATGCCTGGCTTTGTGGAGGAGGAAAACCGTTCTCAGGTCCCATGCTAAGCTTCCAGCAATTTGCAAAACGACGCCCGTTCAAGCCCAAAAACATGGATGCAAACTAGGGAGCACCCACCCTTTTCAACATCCTGTACCTAATGTTCCTTCACAGATTTGGGACGAAGGTGCCCATGTAATTATATACTGCATATATTCTTGTTTGTAGCAACTGGCAGGATAGAAGGACGTTCACACCACTAGGCTAGGATGTTCAAAAACTCGTGCAATGCGTGGATCCATCACTTCAGCGTTCATGCTAGTTTTGAAGGAGGTACTCTCGGCGGCAGACCAGACTGTAGAGGAAAGCGTGCTTCTAGAACTAGGGTCGGTTCCTCTCCCGCTTGTTGATGGTTTGAACTGAATCCAAGAACCAGTTGCTCCTCCCCAAAGAAGGATTTGTTTGGACTTCGATCTTTGGCCTGGACACTCCAGAAATCTGGAGCTTTGTCCACGTGGTTCTTTTGGAGCTGCAGCGCAGACCGTGCTAGGTGGATGGTGATCTGAAAAAGCGTCCCAGATCTCAGCAGATCTCGCCTGTGCATGGGGAGCATGGGGAGCTCTACAAACCCGAACCACCTTGATCTAAAGCTAGTTCCTGATAGTTGTAACTTGACTGATGCCGTTTGATCCAAGGAAAGAAGAGGAGCGCCGGCAGAAGCAGGCGGAGGAGGAGCAGAGGCAGCGAGAGGCCAGGGTGGCATGAGGAATAGGAAGGGCAACATCAACAAATCCTAAATGAACGTTACCCACGAGAGTTCACATACAGGTCAGCTTTTAATACACAAAATATTGTTTCTTCACTTTCATGGATACTTCCTGGACAGTCATAGGCCACCCGCCCGAGGCATGCTGCGATACTCAGCAGCCTGATTCGACCAGTGGCGACAGCGCCTTAAAGATATACTGTAGGATTGCAAGTGCATGGTGTTGTTTGCCTCCAAGTTACTCGCATTTTGTTCAGGATGTTGGAAGTACTCGGGTGGCAGACGATCTCATTGAGCAAATACATGACTACAGACGATTTCATTGCGGCAACATTTGACCCCTCCAGGCACACCAAAGTTTACATCTCAGATGCTCCCCACGACTCAGATGAAGTCTCCTCAAAACGACATTCAAGCTCCCAAAGCGTACACTCCCGTGTTTCTGACATGACCAGTGACCAGTGTTGGAATACCGATATCGCCGATACACATAAAAATCATACATAGACAACAACAAACATAAGCCATCCGATCGTCGCCCATCCGATCATTCCGCGAGGCCGAAGAGGAGGCCAAGCGCGAGAAGATCCGCATGCAACGGCACCAGCAGCGGGAGCAACAGCGACTCAAGGCGAACACACCCATGCCACCATTCAAAGAGGCATCCCAATGGGTAGAAAAAATCTGCCTAGTACCTAATGACCTAATAATTGTTATATAGGAGTGTTTGTTGTTTCTCCTTTTTTGGAGGGTGGGAGTTGGCTGGTTTTGGGATTCGGCGTAGCACATAGACTGAGTAGCTCACAAGCATCGCAACCCAACGTGCCGCTTGGGAGCTTGCTGTTTCTTTCTTACCAACGTCAGGCGCAGAAGTTGGTCGATGCAGCAGTACGCAGAGACAAGGCGCCTTATGCAAGTGAAAGTTGATGGAAATTGTGTATGCAAGAGTCAATAGTCGTAATTACTCATGTTTAGGGGATGGAACTTGGGAGGAAGCGTGCGCAGACAACTTAGTTCATGATGCTAGCAACAACTACAGCAATGGCAATTGCATTTGTATTCGGGAACTTGGTCACTGCAATTGTTGGATAAAGCCTACTACCCAGGCATGCACCAGACTCTACTCTCTTTCGGGTCACAGATTGGAGTGCACCGAAATCGGGATAGATAGACATATATATATATATATAAAAGCAATCAGTTGTTCGCCAAACCAAACTAGAGAATGCTGGATAGCTCATACAATGGCTGCAGCTGGTATTGAGCATCCACGCCCTTGGGGCTAGAACAAGGCTCCATACAATGGCTGCATTTGGCTGTTAACTCAAGCTGCTGGAAGCTATAGGGTGTCCATGTTGCGCACGTGGGTATCCATACTATTGATACTAATGCCATGATGTTGGTTTGCTTGCATATACACACACCCCGTATATATGCATATACAAATGCCAGATTCCACCTGTGGATCCTTTTCAGCTTTGGGCAATACCATCGGCAACGGCTGATCATAGGAGCGATCTGCTCACGAGCTCTACATCTTGCACCGGCACCTGAACAACATCAGAACACGAAGAGAACTGACCTCCCCCACTGATCAGGTGGAGAGATCCACTTTGGATGGAAAAGGTTTTCCTGCACTGCGCTCGGGCTGTGTAAGACTGATTGCTTGTAAAACTCTCTACGGTGCTTGTCAGCCGATAAGCACTGGCTGGGGGATGTTACAGCGTGCTTTCCTTGGACAGATGGATTCAGATGGCCCTTTATTTGACGCTTGCTGAGCCTTTGAGGGTGGCAAATGTTTTAATTAAGGATCGGATGGGATTACCATCTAACGACCTCATACTGGAATCACTGGAATCTTTGATCCTTTCTATTTTGCCACTTTGAGCACCCCTTTGTAGGCTTCTCATAAGGAATTGCCCCACTTCACGTTCTCTAAGGGTTTTATCCACGGCGAGGGTGCATTAGGTATTTAGAACTTCCGTTTTTTGTGGATTGCGGATGGTCAGAGGTTATTTGTTGGAGGGTATACTGAAGTCATGCATCAGCAGCCTGCCAAAGAACTTGTTTGATTCTATTCGTAGGAGGTTTGGCAGATCAAACATTGGCAGATGATTGGCCGTGTCCTGTCGGCCAAGGTACATTCGAGTTTGGTGCCTCGTTGAGCAAGCCATAGGCTACGGATAAACGGCTTGGGTGAAAGCAGAACTGGCTCAAATCCCAAAGACAATTTTTTGGGGGTAAGCATCCACCAAAACGACCAGCGTGCCCTGTCTATAGTCTTTAGAGTTGTGTCAGTGGGATCGTTGAATCTTCTCACCTTTTTTCCCGAATGCGTAGCGAAGGGTTCCCGTTTATAGTTGGGGGTCTGGGGGTTGGAGCTGTGTTCGCGTGGCTTGCGTCGTGTCGTCGTCTCTCGTCGTCTCTCGTCGTCGTCGCGTCTCAAATTTGCTGCCATTGGGGGAAGCTTTTGCAAGTGACTTTGCATGGATGTGTCACGTGTCAGTTTGCGCCGCTATTCCATTGTGATTTGCGTGACACGGACATGTCGCGCAAGAAACGTGATGCACTTCGCTGCACAGGCGCAGCGTTTTGTGAGATCCGCAGAGTGCTCCGCAGTTCCATTGGGATTAGCGTTTGGAGAGTCGTGTTTTTGGGGTGTTGGATGTGGCCGTGCCATTGGGATTTGCGTTTCAGGGTGCGGCATCAAGTTAAATTCATTCTATGTGAATTGATATTCAAGCTAAGTGAATGAAACGCATTATGTCATTTATATTCTC